CTCGGGGGGCGCCCTGTCTGCGCCCTCCCCACGCCGGGACCCTTCGACTCCACCAAGCCCTGGGAACGAAGAGTGAGTCATTCGGTGAGGACCTGCTCCCCAGTTCAAAGGCGGGGAGACTGAGTCCCAGACTCGCGAAAACTGCGGGAGATCTGGGGACCAGCTTCTCCCTCTCTTCACTTGGGTTCTAGACACTTCGGAAGAGTGGCTGCAGACAGAGAGCACCCTCCCTCTCCCCGCAGCATCCAGTTCGGGTTCCCCATCACCTAACCGCGCTCCCAGCACTGCCCTGGTCAGACTGAAACCAGCCGGTCATCGAGCGCTTGCGTTTGTGCTCCCTAAGGCAGACCCCGAAGTAGTAGGCTCCCAGGGATCCCCCGGTGGTGGAGGCCCTGCTGTCAAAGCGCCAGCCTCTCATGCGGAGCTCCCCACTTCCTGTGGACCCTGGAGCCGGAGCCCGAGCCGCAAGAGTGGCTGCGCAGAGGTTGTTTCTGGAGGTGGGAAGTTTTCCATTGATGAATCTTAGCACCCTGTTGGGAATCAGAGCCCAATGGGGGCACAGCTCAGTTCTGTTAAGTAAAAGTTTTAGGAGCCCCGTTCTTTTGAACTCAGTTTCTGCTCTAGGCCCCAACAGACCAAACCAAACCAAGATAGGGTCCCTCATGCTCGCATGTCACATGGTCAAACTGAAACTTGAAGGAGGCAGACGGCTCTCTCCAAATACAAGAGTTTTCCCTGAAAACTGGAGATTCCAGTCTTGCTAAGTCAGCGATAGAAGGAAATCACAGGCCGGGCTGGTAGCTTTCTTAGGACTGAGCACCTGAAATAGCTCGCCCTGTTACTCGGACTTATTTTTTCACGGACATCCTTATTGCCAGACACATTCCTCGCTGCCTTCCAGACTCACTGTCTGCGCACCTGGCTTAAGATTTCGCAAAGGGACTCCAGGTGGTCAGGAGGTCACCCTGCTCCCTTATCACAGAACTCCGCCCACCACAGACTCCTTGCTAGTCCCATCCCCCCTCCCAGTCACCACTTTTGCCTTTAGAGGCCTCCCCACGTCTGTAAGCGGTTGGCACACGGTTTTGGAAACAGCTGGGATTTTGTGGTGCCTGGATGACTGTCCTAACCTGGCTCCAATGAAGCCCCTGCTTTGTATGTCTGGCCTCAGCCTTTTTTTTTTTTTTTTTCTTTTTAGGTTGACAATTTCCTGCTTCATTCCTAAGGGGACTCTTCTCCCTCACCAAGAGAGGCTGCTGCTGGCTGGGACAGTTGCTGCGTCCACACCTTCTACTTTTCCTCCACATTCAGAACTGTGCTGTGTCCCCAGGAGGGGTGGAACCCGAATACTGACTGCCCACCAGCTGCCCAGCTCGCTCGTGGCCTGTGCTATTTTTTTCAGCGAGTGGTGGTGATTCCATGAGCCACCATCTATGACGATGACGCCGACCGAGCAGCCACTGCGTGTGCCAGACTCTCACTGCACACACCCCCACCCCCGCCTTGGGTTAGTTGAGTTCCACAGCTGCTCTCCGAGGAGGACATTGTGATACCTTCATGACCATTTACAGATGGGGCTAGCGAGATGTAGAAAGAAAGCTTAGAAAAGCACGTTTCCTTGCCCCAGATCATCCAAGTGGCAAGAGGTTGCCTGGAAGAAGGACCACACATCATCCTGTATGCCGATCGCTAGGCAGCGCTACCTCGAGAACGCCGCAGCTCTAGGCTGCTGGCATGAGAAGGGAGTGGGCAGGTCAGTGAGCCCAGAGGGGCCAGCCTGGTCCCAGCCCTTGCTGAGGACAATGCAAAGGGACAAAATCATCATTCTGCAAATCGTTTTAGCCATTTCGCTGGGGATGTTTTACAGCCTTACCTCGCATGATATATACCACAATAAATATCAGGTAGATTGAAAAGTTAAATATAGGAAATAAACACTGCAAAAAAAAAAATCATGGAAATAAATAGAAGTTCTGAGACAGTATATTGCAGTGTGACCGCGGATCAGCCGTCAGCCGTAACTCTGCAGCAAACAGTAATTAATTAATTAATTAATTCATTCATTCATTCACTAGACACATAGGCAGGAGCGCCTCCTCCAGGCCAGGGCCTACTCAAGGCACTGGGACACAACAGTGGACAAAGTAGCCCTGACTCTCCTGGGGCTTCAAGCTAGGGGGAGGCTATGGGGAGGAAGATGCCGGAATATCTGGCCTGTTGAGGATAACGCACTTGGTAGAGAAAATAAAGCACAGAGAGGTGTGGGAGCCCCAGAGAGGTCTTTTCACATGAAGGGACTTCAAAGAGTTCAAGTCCCCTTCACTCCAAGACCTCTCTTGGAATGAAAGTCCAAGTTTACTTTGGTGCAAAAGGACTGTGAGATCCGTGAATCATTTTTGTCATTATACGTTTTGTCCATGAACATGTTTATTCATCTGTTTCTTCCATGAAAGGAGAAAGAGAGAGCGAGTGCGCGAGAGAGCAAGCGAGCAGGAAGAAAGGCACCCCAACAGGGTTCTACGTTGCCATCCACTCCCGGTCTTGGCCAGCCAGATCACGGACACATGTGCGTGCCTAGTGCACTCAGGGATGTTCTGGTCCCTGAACCCAGGACCCCAGCCCTACTATGTGGGGCCAGTAGCACCACCAGTTTGCCGCTGCCTGCCCCCCATGAACATCTGGAAGACCCCTTGTCAGAGTCGCAGGGGAAGGCCTCTCTGGTGACATCTGAGAAGTGGCCTAGGAGAGGGAGCGGGTGAAGGGACCAGGGCCTACTGTATGTTGGGCAGTGCCACACTCTGAGAACATTCTGGAAAGCCACATAGCAAGAGCCTGAACTCCCCTTAGAGAGGACCTTTGAGAATAGCGCTGGACCACTGAGAAGAGGAGGACTGGGGACCCCCACATATCTGCACCAATTCACCATTTGCAAAGCCCTTCGTCAGCCCAGAGCTCTTTTAATATTTTTCAGCTAGGAAACTGAAGTTCAGAGACATCAAGCAATGCGTCCCCAAGTCACACAGCCAGCGGTAATGGGTCGAGTTAGGTCTGTGCGCAGCAAGCTGAGTGTCCACTCCCCCACCCCCAGACGGTAATTCCCAAACGGGAGGGCATGGGAGCATTTAATAGAAGCTTCTAGAGTCAGGAGGGTGCAGCAGCAGGCTTGAGGGGGTGAGATGGGAGAAGTCATCCCCTCCCAAACTTCCTGGCCTTCTTCCTCCACACCCCTGCAGAAGTGCCCACCCCTGGTGACATGTTGGGGGGAGAGGTCAGGTTCAATACACCCCAGAACCTCATGCTCCCTGCAGGAGGGCAGGGGTGGAGGCCAGGGCGGGGGCAGGTTTTAACTCAAAGGAGTTTTTGGTGAGTCCCAAAATGAGTCACCGTGAAGAGATATTTTGCAAAATGACTCCCAGAATTAGAATCAACCTGTCCCTGCCCATGGCGCCTGACACCCTCCCTCCCACAGTGGCATTTGTGAATCTGGTCTGGGAGAAACATTCTCCCTGTGTACCCCCAAGGGTTTCAGGATTAAGCTTGTGTCGTTTCATTATTTCTCTGCTTCAGAGGAAGAGAAACTCCTGTGTGCTGGCACCTTCTCCACGCGTGGCCCTGCAGCAGGCACTTAACGCTCACAGAGTCTCTGGAGAACCGTGTCATGATTTAGGTTTTATAGATGAAGAAGCAGGTTCAGAGAACGAAAGTGGTTTGACCACTTCCGGGATTTGAATCAGGTTTAACCACAGCCTGTATCTGGGGTCTTCAAAAAGCTCATGAACAGATATATTATGGAAAAACTGTAAGGCTGGCTAGGTAGTCTGGTGGTTAGGTGAGCTGGATCCCACAAGACCAAGTGCCGTTGAAATCCTAGCCCCAGCAGCTTGGCAAACATGCTGGGTGCACATGCTGCATGCATGCCCCAAATCCAAATAGGCACAATGGAGAAGAGATTGCAGTGTGACCATGACCCGTTGGTGGGGGACAGGGATGCTTCCTCCCTCTCCCTCCCTCTCTCTGTCTCTCTAGCCAGCATATGCACCCTCAGCATATGCAAAACAAAACAAAACAAAAACTCTGCATGATTTCAAAATGTGTGGCACCAAAATAAACTCATACCTTTTATGTTTTTTGATTTTAATTTTTAATTGGCAGAGATCACCTGTGCTCGCCACAGACAGAGACAGAGAGTACTCACCAGTGGAGCGCGGACACACAGCAGCGTCCTGTTTCTCTACATGGTCAGGCTTTGGGGCACAGATGCGCATGCACCCGGTGTGCCTCTCAAGCTGCCAGGCAAGATTTGAACAGCAGCTGGCCACATGGGATCCTGCTCCCGTAACCACCAGGTTATAGAGCCAGCCCTAAACCCGTACTTTAATTCCTTTTCCCACGAACTTTGTGAAGCCTCCCACAGTGTTGTCAGTATTGGGGGGGGTAGTGAGAAAAAGAGGGGAGGCATGGAAAACCAGAATTAATCCCTTTTGAAGGCCCTTTGTACAAATTGTCTTTTTGCCAGTTTCCCAATGATAGGACTTTTGGTCTGGGGAGAGTCCCAGTTTTCCCTGGAGGTCACATTTGCGTGATTATTCATAGCAGCTCTAGTTCGGGCCCCAGAATCTAATGGTTAGGGGGCTACATCCCACGTGCCTGGTTGCTGTATGAGTCCCAGCCCTGGCAGCTCCAAAACCTTGCCAGGCGTGCATACGTGTGCCCCAAGTCCTGACAGGATGGAGAAATGGAGGATAAGGGATTGTAGTGTGCCCATGTCCCATGTTGGGGCACTGTATTCCTCTCTCTCTGTCTCTGTCTCTCTCTCTCCCTCTCTGGCAAAGTGCAATCACTCTCTGGATTTTCTTTTAATAGCATCCTTTTTCATTCCGAATGCATCTGGGCCTGGCTGATCAATTTGAAGGTCACTGTGATTTTTTGCAAAGGCTACTGCAGGGCCTCTTGTCTGTGGGGCCCTTCTCCACCTCCTGCTGTCCATGTGTCCAGCCACTATGCCCCAGGAGATGGCATGCAGCTGAGTCACATTTTCAAAGCCCCTGTCTGGGAAGGGGTCAGGACCCTCTCTTCCCTCCCAGCTTTGTCATCACTCCCTATGTGAACCTGGACCTTCCTGACTGGAAAATGGGGGAGGGAAGGAGTCCCTAAGAGTCCCATCAACATTGACCTTTGGGATTTCCTATTCCCCAGTGCACCCTGGGAGGTTTTTGGTAAAGCTTGTTATGCAGGAAACATCACTCCCCTCCATGCTGTCATGTGGTTCACTTTTCAAAGTACCGATCCCAGGGACCAGCAGTTAACATAATGGCTATGTCGCTGGACTCCCACGTAGTCGATCGACTACGGTTAGAGTCCCGGACCTGGTGGCTTAAACTCACACCCGGCCTGTGTGCGTGGGTGCCCAAGCTCCCAAGAGGAGAATGGAGGAGAAGGGATTGCAGCGTGGCCATCCCCCCCCTGGGGGGGGGGTGATTTCTCACTTTCTGTCTCTCTGTCTCTCTGTCTCTTTCTGGAGAGCGCACGCGCCCTATAGCAAAAACCTCTCCAAAAAAAGAAAATAAAAAGTAGTGATCCCATTTTTAGCTATTTTAACTTAAAAAAAGTACTTACGTTTGAATAAATAATACTCATCTACAGTTCAAAATGCAGATGGTACAGAAGGTACTGGGTGAACAGAGACCTTTCCATCCCTGCCCCCAACCCCTGCCACCCGGTTCTCATCCCTGAAGGGAACCACGGTTGCCAGACACACTCTCTTCCCAGATGGTGTGTTTTGTGTGGAAATACACATGTATGCGTGCCTATGTGGACATGTGTATGTATGTGTAATTTCTTCATTCTTTTTTGCACAAATGATAGCATACGATCCACATTGTCCTCTTGACATTTGGGGCATGCACTATCGCGCTGCCTGTGTTTTCTCCCCTTCTTGGAGACAATTTCCTATCAAATTTGTAAAGAGCTGTTTTCTTTTTCATGACTGCGTAGTATTACAAAATGTCTACCTTTGATCTCCACTGAGCAAGCAGCCGCTCTGTGTCCTGGTCTAAGCATTGTGGAAGATAACAGAAAGACTCACAGTCTTGTTGGGAGACAAGAGAAAACAGCACACCTCGGCGGACAAAGAACAATCTTGTCTTCACTGGCCCCCAGTCTCACTCGTGAAATTTGCTAACTTTTAAGACGAACTTTTTTTCTTATTTTTGCAATAGAGTGCGTGTGCTCATCAGAGAGAGAGAAAGTGAGAAACCACCACACACACACACACACACACCCAGCACGCTTTTCAAGCCACCAGGCCCAGGACCCGAACTGCTCAGTTGACCGTGTAGGGTCTAGCCACTTTAACCACCACACCAATGGCTGGCCCTGTGGCTAATATGTGTTTATTCTCAGCCTCACACATCTGTGGGGTTGTCAAAAGCTCCCAGTTGGTTCTTTAGAGCCTTGAAAAACCTCAGTCTGCCTCTTCTTCACAGTCAAAGTTCCAGCCATCCACTTCCCCATTCTGGGCCTCAGATTCCTCATCTGTAAATCGGGGTCAGTCAGCCTCTCTTGCAGGATTGGGAGTGTTTTTTGGCTTCAGAGGAGTTTAATGCTGTGCTCCAGGGCTCCACGGTCTGGGGAGGTCAGGGGAGGCTCTCAGGGACTATGCATTCCACGCGGGGTGTTATGACTCTTCCTGCCCCGCGGGAAGCATTTTGTAAATCTTCTAAGCTTTGCCGATGCTGTGATCAGGCATGCCAAACAGTGATCTCCTCCCACCACCAACTCTGAGTCCTTGCTGGACTCGGAGAACCCACACCCCGGAGGGCCCTGGGGCATGAGAGCCACAGCCATCAACCCTCTTCAAGGACGGCAGAAAAAGCCCTTGAGGGTTATCGTTGCAGCCCTGACTTTCCAGCGCCATCCCATCCTTGCCGTTTTGGCTAACAGGTTCGAGTTC